TAAAAGAATGAGTTCAAGGCTATATGCAGCTCCTCTAACGCTGCACTATTATCTTACGATCTTTAGACTGGCAAACAATAAACCTCTTGCTACTTTTTACAGTATCGTTCTGGGAGCAGCCTCTTTGTCTCTTGTGATCGCCTACCCTCTGATGAAAAGAATAACCTATTGGCCACAGTTAGTTTTGGGTGAGCTGGAAATGTTGTTACTATTTTTTTCCTCAGATGTAGTTTTTGGGGTATTTTACAAATTGGTAATTGAACTTAAGCAATCCAATTTCTTGTAACTATATTGAAATAATAATACCATGTAGACAAAGTTCTGTTGTGCCAGAGGTTTCTTAAACAATTTATAACACACATAAGACTTGATGTTTGGGTGTGGGTTTTTTGTTTTGTTTTTTTTTTTTGTTAAAAATAATTTCTTTGTTTTGATGGAGTGAGGGGATGGAGACAGGGAGGGAGGGAGTAAATACCTGTGATTTGAGAATCAGCTTCAGTTTTGGGGTTATCTCAAAACCTTTCTTAAACATACATTTGTCCTGCATTTCAGTCTTCAGCCTCTAAAATAACTCCTATCCTGAAACTTATCTTTGTATCTTGGCTTTCATATTCTGGCTGCCTTCAGTTTTTTCAACTGAAATCGTAATTTTCAGCCTTGAAGTAACCACAGCTTGCTGTGGTGCAGTCTTTTGCAGTCATACCGACCTCTTCTGTTCTACAGGCATCTCAGCATGTTAACTTTATACCCACTGTTTGAGCACACTGGAGTAGTTTTGTGCAGATTTAAACTGGGGAAAATACATGGCTGTACGTGTTTATCCTTGTATGTCCGGAGTATTTAATGTCAAATTACTTTTATTTATTACCTGCCTGATAATAAGTGGTAGAAAAAGTGATGCCAGTATTGTACAGAAATCTGCTGCTGTGATACACACTCGAACAAATAATATTTAATTCTGTATGTATAATATAGGTCGCTCCTGTCAACCTTATAACTGTTTTACTTTTTTTCCCCTCTCTTTTTAGGACTTACATTTAATTGGGGAACCCTTCTCGGCTGCTCTGCCGTCAGAGGCTCCTGTGAGTGGTCTGTGTGTTTGCCCGTGTATAATACTTCACTGGAGTAATGTGGACACTGGTATATGATACCATTTATGCACATCAGGTGATGTAAGAGTGGGAAATTTTAGGTATCCGTGTACCCTTTTGTGTTTAATTGACAACTTTGTTGTCAAACTAATATTAACAGGTTGCAGTTCTTCACTCTCAGCTGAGCTAAAGCAGCACCAAAGAAACCCCAGCCCCTGCACCTTTTATTGTTATTTGACAATGTTTTACATATCGAGTAGAAAGCTGGAAGTGTCATGTACTTTGTGTGACAGTTATTGACACTTGCATTGTGTCGATAGCTTTGGCACTGGTATTAGCTCTTGGCTGCCAAAGCAGCTCTAAGGACCAACCTTCTGATTTAAATTTTAATGTAGGGTCTTACCAGTGCATTTAAACTGGGTTCCTAACAAGAAGCACTGGAAACTTAAGCAAGGCCCTTTCTTATTTTCCTTATGAAGCGACAGTTGGAGTGTGGGTTTGTTGCTAATTTGTCCTTTCATCCTAGGACAAGAGGGACAGCATGGTTATCGGTGTGAAGTTGACAGCGTTACAGTTCGAGGAGGATCCAAAGCAGTGGCTCGATGGCTTCAGCCTTGCAATACTCTTGAGTTTCTGCGTGGCAGGAGGAAATTGTGACCAGACGCTCCCGTACCTTCTCGGCTGTGGCTGCCGTAGGGGCTCACCTAGCACACCAGGTTTGAAGGGTTTGTTTATACTTTTCCCAGGTGGAAGTTCTCGATAAGAAACCAGGGTGCTTTTCAACCCCCATCAGTTTGCCACCTACCTAAAAAAAACCCCAAAAAATCCTGTAAAGGGAACTGAAATCTTCTGACAATAAGCTTGCTTAAGTACCTTTTGCAGATGGTTTGTTTGAGGAGGCCTCTGGCAGTCCACAGACACTAGAACACTCGTTTGCAG